AATAGGCTACTTATCGCCAAGGCTCATTTAAAACATGGAAGGCTACTTACTCGAAGGGCTATATAAACAGGCTAACTTACTCTCAAGGCATTAAACAATGGGCTGCTTACTCGCAGGGCCATTAAAACATAGGCTTACTTACTCGGGTGTTCTGAAGTTTGGAAACATTTTACAATGTAGTGGGAGAGGATGGAAGGCATCTAAGTAGACGATAGCCAGGACTAAGATGTCATACAAGGAAGTTTGGTGTATTAGAGAGGATTCAACTAGTCGGCGTCATGTTCGAGTTGGAAGTAGGGAGATCAGTTTAGCAGAAGGACCAGTCATTAGGATGGCTATGATTCGTGAAAGTGACAGAAAAGTGCCATTGTTAGTGTCGGCACGCTAGGGAGCACAAAATAGTGTTGGCTTGCCGACACTAACGCAGATTGCTCTTTTCTTGTCAGTAAGAGATCATAGCCAATCCTTTGACTGGTCTTCCTGGCTAAAACTTGTCTTCCCTACTTTGTCTCCAACCCTAACCAGTCGCCGTTCTCGTTGAATCCTCTCTAATACACCATCTTTGCCTTGTATGAATCTTAGCCCTTGGCTTCGTCTCTCTGTAGATGCTTCGCCTCTCCCACTAATTGTTAAAATGTTTCCTAAACTTCAGAACCACACCGTGACTTAACCTAGAATCCTCTTTTTTTCTTTTTCTTTTTTTCTTCTCCCTCTTCGCCCCTTTCCTCCTTTCCTTGTTCTCCTCTGGTTATCTTCTTTCCTTCTCGTATCGTTTTTCTGTTTGAGCCTTCCTTTATTTATTTCACCTACTTCCCTTTCCCCAACTCTGTGCTACTTGCTCTTCCTCTTTGTGGGCAATAGTCACCTTGCAGTGGTCTCCCTTTACTTTGTATTTGGACTGGCTTCCTCCTGCCTTATTCACACACTACTACCACTTCCATACTGCTGTTACTCACTTATACTATCTACTACTGATACTACTACTACGCTCACTATTCTATACTATATAACTACTACTACACCACCACAACTTCCTCTTCATGCCCTAATATATAAGCCGTCATGCTTCCACTTCTGGTTAGTAGTGACTTTGTAAATGGTCCAACGTCGGACCGAAACGTCAGTCAGTAAGCTTCTCTCATTCATGTGCGGGTTATTTGAATGTAATAATAATAATAATAATAATAATAATCTCGGATAGATGAATTATAAATTTTATCGAATCTATCCACTGTTTCTCAACGGCATTATGCTGCTGTCTTAATATCTCAAAAAAAAAAAATCTTATGTATGACAAAGTTAGCGTTTACCTCCTTTTTATTCATGTGGGCTCTGTGTGTGTGTGTGTGTGCTGGGCGAATGTGTGTGTGTGTGTGTGTGTGTGTGTGTGTGTGTGTTGTGTGTGTGTGTGTGTGTGTGTGTGTGTGTGGTGTGAGTGTGTGTGTGGCTGTCTGTCTGTGTGGTTCGTGTGTTATTGGAAATTTGTTTTAATCTCGCTCTTGGTTTAAAACGGCTTTACTGTAACTCACCAAATGCTTCAGCAAGCATTTACAGGAGCGAAACAATGAGTCAGGTCACATCGTTCTTGAATGATTTTATATAGATCAGAGGAGGATCGAACGTTCAGTGAAGATGGCCGAATTCTTTGGTCGATTCATCAACATCAAATCAGGACGTCTATTTTGGAAATGGGAATGGCGAGGCTACTCACGAAGGATCGTCGTCACCCAGTAGCCAGGAAAATGGTTAAGTGGTAGTGGAATATTTCTTATGGGTCGAGGTCAAAGATATTTTTATTAAAATTAGAACAACAAGGGAAGTGGACTGTGAAATTTATCCAGCATATATACCAATGTGGCCAGAAAAGTCTGGACACATAGGCTCCGAAACTGCCATTTTTGTAATAATTATATAGTAATTTTAATGAATAATATCTTGAACATGATTGTCCACCATTAGCGATGTAAAGTTCAGAGCTACTTCTGACAAGATTCACATAAACACAATGCAGTAAACTCCAGTAACTGTGGAAAAAAAAGATTGTTAGTAATATTTCTAAGTGTCCGGACTTTGGGTACCTTGTAGATAGTATATTAGCTGTAAGAGATAATTTTCGTGTCTACTCCAGTTTGTTTCGATGGTTGCGTTATATACGGACTGCTCTATGGAATGTGGTATTCAGACGGGAGTAGAATAAAAGTATCTCTTAGATTTCACGACGAGTTTATTCATCGACATCATGAAACCTGACTAGTCCGCTGGGTCTAGGGTTGGGGAGTCAACTTTTTTTGGTATTATCCGAAAACACAAATTTGTGGTATAGAGGGAAACTGCCCCCACTAGACTGTGAAAGTCCACAGACATCCGGAAAAGAAAAGAAAGACACTAGATATTTGGGCAGGTGTCGTCTAGATGTCATAGAGAGATAGTGTTGTCTAGGTCTATGTAGGTTAAGGATATAAGATCATATATAAACTGAGAAAATTATGTATTAGATTTTTAATTTTATTAGGAAACTTCAAAATTAATTTGTTTGATAAAATAATTGTAACTGTCACGTTAATTTTTGCCTCAGTTTATATATTATAACGTAAAGTTTTTGTAGTTTCATAAATATGTTGTATGAGCCTTCATTACCACTCAAGATTTCGTTTTTTACCCACTTGTACGCTGCGGTACATATATTTGAAGGTTAGAGCCAGTGGTTAGTTGCATCATGCGCAATTTTGAATGGACTTCGATGAGGAGGCTAAAATAAACAAGGGTTCGATCCTCAACCATCCTCCAAGGATTGGCCAAATAATATATACATATATATTATATATATATTTTATATTATATATAACTGATATATATTTATTATATATATTATATATATATATATATTATATATACATTATTTATATGCAGAAAAACACTGTGAAAGACAGAGAAATTCCAAGCCCTTTCGTGATACTCACTTTATCAAGGATCAATGAAAGTCAGAGATCAAGAGAAGGTTACTAAGGCGTCTAGCCCACACTCACTATCAGATCCCACAACAATGGAAACACCTGTCACGCAGGTCATAAGAAAGGGACACTGCAGCAGGTTCGCTTGCCAACTTGCTAGACCAGGTCTTCAACACAACCCCACCAACAGATAAACTATAGGGTTACTATGTGGGTGGTTACAGGTTTTGGGTATTGTTGTGGTTTACATGTTATAAAAATACTAAATTACAGAGAGGATGGCCACTAGGACGCTAGCCTGGCTATGGCATTTTCGAGCTCAGACTTAGATTAATTCTTAATCTTATCAAAGAACCTCCCAACAAGCATACAGAAATCAGTATTAGAACTCACCACATACTACAGGATATAAACAACACTATTGAGAACCTAAAAGAGAGAGAGATGTATTCACGTTGACTTTGTGTTGCAATAATTTCGCCAAATATTCTAATAAAAAAAAATATATTTATTTTTTTTATTATATTAAATTTTTAAAAAATTAAAATTTTGGGTTGGGTTAGGCTAAAATAAAATTGCGCTTGGAAATAAGGTTAGGTAAGTTTTCCCAAAATCTTTTGGTCAAAAAAAAAATTTTTTTTTTTTTAAATTTTTTGTAAAAAAATTTATATTTTAAAGTTATAAAAAATTTTTAAAAGGATTAATTTTTAAAATATTTTTGCAATTAATTTTACATAAAAATTGAAAACAATATATTTTAAAAATAAAAATTTTAAAAATTATTTTTATATTTAAATATTTTATATTAAATATATATTATATATATATATATTTATATATATATATATATATATATATATATATATATATATTATATATATATATATATATTTATATATTTACATATGTCATATATTTTAATTAATATATTATTTAAATATAATAATATATATATTTATATATATTTTATATAATATAAAAAATATATATAGTCGTGCAATGGGCAGAACTTGCGATTTGCTTAAAAAAGAAGTTCATCTTGCATATAGGACAAGTGAAAATTTTGTATGCAATAATTTCGCCAAAATCTTTTGACCTACGAAAAAATAATTTCACTTGTTGTTTAGTTTTAAAATTGCTGAAACAATCTAAATATAATTTAGCTGGTTAGGTAAATAATTGTTTTGTTAAAAAGGTTAGGTAAGTTTTCAAAAGATTCTTTTGGTGCAAAATTATAAATTTTTACTTTAAACATTAATGGAAAATTATCTTTAAACATATAAAGAAATTTCAGAAAGGATTTAAATTTTAAATGAGTTCTTGTAATTGCCGTTTTACATATTCGGCAGACATATATTATATATATATATATATCACATTATATATATTTATATATATATATATATATATATATAATATATATATTTTATATATAAAATATATATATATTATATATATTATATATATATTATTTAATTTTATACATATATATATTATATATATATATATATATATTTTTTATATATATATATTATATATATTTTATAATATATTATATATTATATTTTTTATATATATTATATATATATATATTATTTTTATATATATATATATATTTATGTAGTGTGTGTGTATGTGTGGTGTGTGTGTGTGTCTGTCCGTCTGTCTGTGTGTGTTTGTCTTTATGTGTGTTTTTATGTCTCTGTCAGCGTGTCTGATTTTATCGGAAATTTTGTTGTTTACTGCTCTTGTTTTCGTATTATTCTTATCATCTTTCCAAAATTTGAAGAAAAATAAGTACTTTTCCTATGGAAAAAAGTTTGGGTGACTAATAACATCGAATAAACTTTCGTATATACTGTACATTGCATGCTACCCAACATAATTGGTATTTGTCAATTAACAGCTGTAGACATTTGTAAATTTTCGTTTATTTTATTAGTTTATGAGGTAAACCTTCAAATGAAATATTTCCACAATGCATCATGTTTACAACAACTTAAAGAAATCCAAGGACTCTTCCTGACACTCAACTATAAAAGCCTGGAGTCTCTGCTGTAAGACACACTCGCTCAGCTGTGGCCACAGTTGATTCTCTTACAAACATGAATCTATTGGTGAGTTTTCCACTTCTATATTTTTTATGTTGCCTTTTTTCTCATATTAGGCAATACTTGACGTAGTATTGGACAATAAATCATTATTTTGCCATTTTCATATTATAACGAAACACGTTCAGAATATTACAATATTTTCATGGAGATTCTCATTATATTTTTTTGCAGTTGTAAGTCATGTTGCTTACTATTATTTAATACATACAGGTTTTTGTGTTCCTGGCGGCTGCCGTTTGCGCTTCTGATATTGAGAAGCGAGATGCGGAGCCCGGCCTCAAATATTTGCGCCCACATTATACCCCATACCGTCATCATGCTGGTAAAAGGGAGGCAGAACCAGAGGCTGATCCAACTTATCATTTACACTACGTTTCAGCATACCCTTACTTGAATAAACCCTATCGCTATCAGAGATCTGCAGAGCCAGAGGCTGAACCTACATACCCTCGTTACTATGTCCCATCTTACCCTCACTTGAATCTCTATCGCCACGTAAGATCTGCAGAGCCAGAGGCTGAACCTACCTACCCTCGTTACTATGTCCCATCTTACCCTCACTTGAATCTCTATCGCCACGTAAGATCTGCAGAGCCAGAGGCTTAGCCTACCTACCCTCGTTACTATGTCCCATCTTACCCTCACTTGAATCTCTATCGCCACGTAAGATCTGCAGAGCCAGAGGCTGAACCTACCTATCCTCGGTACAATGTTCCGTCCTACCCTTCAGTGAAAAGCCACTACCGCTACGTGAGATCTGCCAGAAGCTGAACCTACCTACCCACATCTCTATATTCCATCAAACTACAATGTGAATTCCCACTATCGCTACTAAATATCTGAAGAAGCTTATGTTTATGCTGATCCTCCTCCATGGTTTTATGTCAGTGGGTGTCCTGTCAGTCACTATTGCACTGCCACTTGCAAACAACACTCAACATTCAAAAGATCCAACGATCATTTATTCATTGCATACAATGGCAGCCATTATTCCCAGAACCATTCTTCTTACTAAGGTATCCAGGAACAACAAAATATTTGCTTGTAACAATGTTGTTTCTTAAATGAGTGTCTTAAGAACAATAAAAAATATAAATGACGAAAAAGTTAATTTTTTAAATACCAAATTGCAGATCATTTTTCAATTATAGGTAATCATAATTTTATTAAGAGAACGCGTTAATTTTATCGGAATATAACATTTGAAATATTTTTGTTCTTTGTGTTCCCAAACCAGAAGAATTATACTACAGTTGCTAAGGTTGGAAAATCCTGTACTCAGGCAGTCTACAGTATGTTAATTCCTGTGTGAATATGTACTAATAATAATAATAACATATCAAGTGATAAAATTATAATAATTATGATAATAACAATAATAAAATTAATAAAAATAGAAATAATAATGATAATAATAATAATAATAATAATAATAATAATAATAATAATAATAATAATAATAATAATAATAATAATAATAATGATATAAATAAATTATCTTACTAAAATATGAAAAGTATCTTTCTTGCATCACAAATCGGTATAGAGAGTACCCCACGAGCCCCTTTGAGGCGGGGCAGATGGCAGACCAGAGGCCTAGCTTCTCCCTACGAGCCCCGTGAGGGCGGGGAATGTGGCTAGGCCTGGGGACGCTTGGTCCGAAAGATGAGGGGGTACTTGTACCTCCTCCCATGGGAGACTTACGTCTCGAGACACTCCCCAGATAGGGAGCCAAGGCCGGGTCACCACTGCTTGGAAAAGACCCGGGCCGGGAGAATACCGGCGAATAAGAAAAAAAAAAAAAAAACCCGGGCCGGGAGAATACCGACGAATAAAAAAAAATAAGGAAAAATAATATGTCTTACTTAGGCATCATTGTTTATAATGCATTGGGTCCATCACAATATAGATCAGACAATTTTTAATCCAATGTATATCTCAACTATTACTTTTATATCCTAGTTTTGCAGGATTTAGCAGTATATTTAGTAAGAATAAAAGGCGACTCACAACATCCATTATAATTCACCATAATACCTAAAAGAAGAAATCTGAATACAGGGATTTCTTTAAAAAAAAATCTATGACAGTATGAATTCAAATAAATGATGCAACAAACTAGCAGATGCAACACTACATGATCTCAAGTGGTTGAAAATTCAACTTAAAAGAGCTTTTTTTGAAACAGAAGATATAATTATTAGTTACGTAACGCCACTCGAAGTAAAATAGTGATTAGTTTAATTTTACATAAATCTGTAGCGGTAGAAATCTTCTAATTGTAAACAAATTCAAAAAGGAATTATGGAATATAATATTTTTTAAAACCATTTCTTAATAACAAGAACATTAAGCAATTAATTTAAATGTTTTCGAAAAGACGCATTTCCATTTTCATGCAAGCCTATATTAACATGTTGACATTATTACTTGCTTATAAATTTGGGATAAGTATTTGAGCTTCATGTAGTATGATTTTTCCATCAACACGTAACAGAATCTAAGAAATTTTTCCGAAATGAAATGCATGTCCATTATATTCCGAAAAAGTGTAACGATCCTCTTCCAAATGAAAGCAATGTTATTCCCGGGGAGGGAAATGATACTGACTTCAGCAGATTTCACAATATTAGTTTTTCCCGAGTGCATAATTTCAGGAATGCTCTTTCTTGCAGTTCACTAAGTTGGGAATATCAGCAATTTTATCGCATCACTTCTATATGAAACAAAAGTTCATTGAGCATCTTACAGAAAAACACCAGTTTTCCATTCGCGAACTTCTACAGCCAGAACCAATTAAGTAATATTTATATCATCTTGCAATGTTTCTCTTGACAGAATGTTTCACTGATGATGACTCTTAAGTTGTTAAGAGTCTGCAGAACAACCTATATATCTTTACTATTTTGCACCATTCGAAAACTGTTCGCGATATGATATATATATATTATATATATATTATATATATTATAATATATATATATATTATATATTATATATATTTATATTTTATATATATATATATATATTATATATTATATATATATATATATTTTATATATATATATATTTATTTATATATATATATATTCTATATATATATATATATATATATTAATTTTATATTTTAATATAATATATATTTTTATATATTATTTAATTATATATATTTATATATATATTTAAAATATATATAATTATTTTAATATTATATTTTATATATATTTATATATTATAAAAATATATTATATATTTTTTATAAAATTATGCAAATATCCCCAAACCAAGTGAAAACAGGTTTCCCAAAAGAAACCAACGGGGGAAGTTTAATTAAAAATCTCGCCTTTTTTGTTGAAATCACCCCCCAACCAAAAATCAGGGGGGGGGGGGAGGAAAAGGGGCAAGGAGAAGGAGGGGGGGAAAAAATTCACAGCAAGTCTTTCCCAGAGGATCGTCGATCAAAGGGCCTTTCCCGCAGACCCAGGGTGCCCAAACTTATTCTTTCCCAACTACGTTTATCATCCCTTTAAGGGGAATATTCACTAATCGCTTCAGAGATTTTGCAGACCCAGGGGCCCAAACCAAAATTTCCCTGGGTTTACTATGCCCATTTACCCTTTTTAAAGGGTCTCTGTCGTCATGCAGGTCTGCAGAACCAAAATTTTTGGAAACCTCCCTCCCTGGGGACTAGCCCCCATTTTTAACCTCACTTGTATCTTATCGCCATGCAAGATCGCAGAGAAAGGGCGGGAACCTTTCCCTCCCCTCGGTACTTGTTCCGTCTTATTTTACTTAAGTCTCTGCCCTTTTCTTTTCTGATGACCAGAGCTTTTGGTAAGAGGGGGTAAGGAAAAAGGGAGGGGGAAAGGATGGAAATTTGGGGAAAAAGGGTGGGAGGGGGGGGAGGGGGGTTAGGATAAAAAAGGTAAGGGGCCCCAACCCAATTTGGGTGAAATTTAAAAAGGGTATTTTAAAATTGATAAGTATTTTTAAAGGGGTAAAATCCCAAAACCCCTTCAGGGTAAAATTAGATAAAATTTTGGTTATAAGTACAGGACTCTAAATTGGTATTTATTTACAAGGCAATTGCTTTTTTTTTTTTTTTTTTTCGCGATTGCAAAAGGGTATTTTTTTCGAAAAGAAAGGAAATTTAATTTTCTGGCAGTTTATAATTTTCGGACAAAGCTTTTAATGGGGGTGGTCCAACAATGTCAATAGCAAAATTTTACATTAAAAAAGGTTATTTAAGATGTCCCCCTAATGGGGGCGTTGTTTTTTTCAGTATACATGGGAAGGGTTTTGGGGGGTACCCAATTTCTTCTTTCGGGTTTAAGTTGCTCAAAATCAGGGGTCGAGGGTAATCATTTTTATAAATTTAAAAGGGACAAACCCTCTGTGGGAGGGGGTTTTCTTTGAGCCCGTGAGGCGGGTTTTTTGGGGGTGTAATCGGGGGTTTAATTTATCGTTGTTTGGAAAGTTCTTTTATCTGGCATGTATAGTTCTTGCATTTTTTAAAAAGGTTGTTTCTTTTTTGGGGGGTTGCAAGGCGTACATTTATGGCAGTAATATTTTGGTTGTGTGTGTAAAAAATCTCCATTTTAACTCTGTTTTCCTCCGGGGGTATGGGTTTTTTTAAAGCGAAAAAGCTTTTTTCGGGAAACCCTTTGTAACTTTAGCATGTTGCTCTTTTTTGTTAATGACATTGGGACAAAAGGGTATTCGAGTATGGGTCTTATTATATTTTACAGAGTTTTTTGACAGTTGGGGGGGCCTTTTTTGAATCGAAAAAGGTCTGCTAAAGCCGATTTGGCTGTATTGATCTTTTATTAATGGATGTTGATGGACCCACCCTGTCTATTTATATCCCAAGATCTTGTTGGGGTTTTTAAAATGGTTAAGGTTACCTTTTATGGGGATCCCCCCTTTATTTTTCGTTGGTTAAATGAAAGGGACATCCTATCGTGCTAAAAAGGGACCTTATCGGGATTGTTTTAAATTTTCCACCCCCCTTCTCCCTTTTAGATTTTACGAGGGTTAAATATTCTTTTTTTTCTATGACTCTCTAATACTTTATTTTCCTTTTACGGGTTTTGGATGGGGGAACGACATGAATAACATCCGGGAAAAATGTGTCACAATTGTTTTTTTTAAAAATTGGTTGAAAAAAGGTCTTTCACAAAATTTTTAAACAAAAGTGGACTGAGACAAAAAACCTTGTGGGACCCCAGCGTGGGTAAAAAAAGGGTTCGGGCGATTCCCCAGGGAAAGGTGGGAATGATTTTCTTTGATTTAAGAAATTAAAAATTTCTGAGAAAAGCCCGTTTGGGGGTAGGTCAATGAGTTTGTATAAAAAGGGCCTTCATCCCATAAGTATAAAAAGTTTTTTGAACATCTTTTGGTGGAAATTTAAAAGGAAAGATTCCCCTGCGGGTTTTGACTTGCTACGTGTCAAAAATAACATTTATTGCTTGTTTTGGTACCTATGTGTTCTAAAGCCAAATTGTTTTCCCAGTAAACAAGTGTTTAAAACTCCAATAGAAATTTTATTCTGGGGGAAATTGACTTTTCAAAAAATTTTCCAGTGACTTCAAAAAAAAGGTTAGGTTATAGCCCCCAGGTTGGGGGGGATGTTTTTTTGGGGTTTAGCAAAAAAGATACCCTAGCGGGGTTTTTAAAAAAACGGGAAAAATGTCTGAGGCCAAGATGGCTTAAAAAGATATTTCCCAAAGGGGGCTTTTTTCAAATTTCTAGGTAGGTACTTTTTTTGGGTTTCTTTGTTATTCAGAGGGGCCCGGGGCTCTATTTTCATTTTCCCAAAAAACCCTGACTTATTCTAGTAATTTTAAT